TGTGCCCAGCCCCGTGGCAGCCCAGCCCAAAATCCCTCCTGGCCCTGCCAACTCCTACTGCTCAAGGCAGATGTGGCACCCTCATGGGCTCTTTGGTGTCCTCCTGCCCACACAGGCTCTCTGCAGGGGGAATGCACTCCAAAAAGCACCCCAAAAGCTCCAGCAGCTTCTGCCAGGGTGAGGAGGCCCAAATGTCCCAGCAAGGTGATGGCATCTGACCTGGAGATGCTCTCTTGCTCTGGGGGTTTGCAGGGGAGACCCTCTCTGCTGGTGCAGGTACTGCTGTCTTGCTTCTGCTGTCTGGTCAAGTGTGTCCCCAGCTCAGCTGTGACCCTTCGCCTTGCCTCTCCTCATGTCTGGTACCATCTCCACCACATGTATACTTTCATCTCTCCTGCAACAGGAGTGAAATGGGTGATTTGAGGGCTTTCAGACCCTAAGAGAGAAGCTTTGAAAGCATATGTGAGTCCAAAGCCTCTCCGTGACCCAGCTGTGATGGGTTACACCTCATTTCCATGCATGGATCATGTCAAGGTGTGTTGAAATAAAAGGGAATTCAAGTTTTGTCTTGAAATAAGGCCACTGGGAAAGAATTCCTTGCCTATGGGCTCTGGGAACTCATGGGCTCTCTTCTGGCCCAGAAGAAAGTGTAGAGGCCCAAAGAAGTTGCTGAGAGCAACTGGCTCAGAGAGAGCTTGTGCTGAGCCCTGGGGCTGTCATCGCAGCTTGAATTGGTGTTCCAAAGGACACGGACTCTGGGATAAAGGAATTCCCAGGTCAGACCTCGTGGACCTGAACACATAAAAGGGAGAGCAGGTTGGACTCTTCCTGCCTGACCTTTGGACCATCACATGCCCAAGCCTGCAGGAATCTCCAGGGACATGGAACCTGCTTCCCATCCCAGATATTCCCAGTTGGGGGCGGGGGAACTCTCATTAAGGGTTCCCAGTGTTGGAAGGGGATTTTTGGCCACTGAGAGACATCTCTGGGCAGATGTGGGACCTGCCCTGCTGGAATCAGCTCTCCAGAGCCCTTGGAGCAGGGATTAAGGCTGGACAAGCTGGCTGAGTTTTAAATGGAGTGAAGCCTTTTAAAACTCACTGGGAAATCTCCTCCATCTCTGTAAACATCATTCCCTGCTCCCATTTGCAAGGATTTTTCAAAGCCCCTTTTAGCCTCTATTCCTCACTGAGAGGGGGAAGGGAGAAAATGCAATTATAAATCCTAAGCTTCTTGGATAAACACTGTCCCAGCAACCTCCTTTCTCCCTTTATGGACAACTTCTGAGTGTCAGGGTTCACCAGCACCCCAAAACCTCTGAGCCTGGCTCTGTGCTTCCAATTTTTCCCAGGAGGATGAGCTTACAAAGGAAGGAAAAGCAAAGACGGAAAACAACTTCCATCTCAGCCTGATTCTGAGGCTATTTGGAGCAAAGGGAGGATCATTCTGCACATGTGACTCTGCCTGGGCTTCAAAATAGCATTTCATTTCTCTACAAAGCAGTTTTGTGAAAATTCCTTTTATTTATTCACCTGGCTGGAAGTCACTTTATTTTAACTCCCTGGGGAAATGCTTCTCCTGGCCTGGACAAACCTTTCCTGTGGGTTCTAGAGCAAGTGCCAGGGAACAGAGGAGACTTCAGTGAGGTTAGAATGAAGGACCAACACTTGTTTTGCCCCATTTTCTTTCTCCAATGGTTCCAGCTTCCATACACTCAGCCGATTTTGCCCTGTAATTTCTTGAATTCATTTTTTTTCTCCCAAAAGACAAAAAGTAAAGCACCCAATGCTGTGCACTCTCAGCTGCAGGAGTTTCCTTAACCCCTCACCACCTTGGGTGAGTGATTATACATTCTGGGTTGTCCTTTGTTAATCATGAGGATTCTTCACTCAGTCAGGTTGTACCAATTCCACCTGGCATCACACATTTGTGTCCACATGCTGGTTTGGATGGTTCACTCCCAGTATGGACTGGGAACTGGGAACATCTCTGCTTGGACACAGCAGTGACCCAAGCCTCTTCATCTTGCACAGATCTGCTGCAATGACCTTCAGACTTTCTTCCTTGGCCCTTTAAATCCTCTGGTGGCACCTTGTCCAAAGCAAATTGTGGATGGGATCCTGGAAAGGGAGACAGGCTTTAATCCATGATAAACAACCCACCCAATGCAGGATTCCCTGCTCTGTGGGGCATTTTAAGCTCCCAGAGTGGGAAGAGTAAGGCATGGGAGGAGCAGGACATGTAAATCACCAAAGCCACTGAAAAAATGGGTGAAATATAGGTTGGCTTTGTGTGTTCTGCACATTCCTGTTGAGGAGGACTCTCCCCTCTTTACACCTGGGTGTAAGTGTTCCCACATGTAGTAACTGGGCAGTTGCAGTGGTGGATTGTGAGGAGCAGGAAAGAGAAGCAGCATCCTGCAATACCCTGGGGAGAGATCATGGGTAGGCAGACCAAAGGGACTTTGCTGACACGTTTTCCAGGGCATACACACACTCTGCCCTTCCTAAGGCTTCCCTCTGTAAAAAATGGCTTTGGGAACACACATGGAATTCCTGTCTCTCTTACCTTCGGCATAGGAACACACTGCAAAGGGCTGATAAGGGGGAATGGTCCCAGTGCCTCTGCCTATGGAAGCCAAAGTACAGACCTGGACTTGTAGAGTCGTTTCTCTGGCAGACAGGGGCCAGGACTGGCTGCAGGCTCAGTGATGTCCATGTTCTCCCCATGCCCAACTTCCATGGGGTCTGCTTGGAGCTGCTCTGCTGTCTCCATGCTCACATCCATGGGCACAGCAGGGCCCTGCTCTGAGGGAGAGCTCACGTGCTTGGGGCCACTGCAGAGACAACAGCCTTGCTCAGTAGTTGCCAGGAAGTTCAGAGCAAAGGGTATTTCAGAGTATCAGAGTATGCTAAGGGGTTGGAATGCAGCTTAGAGATCAGCCAGTCCCAACCCCCCTGCCCTGGGCAGGGACACCTCCCACCAGAACAGGTTGCACAAGGCTTCATCCAACCTGGCTTTGAACACTGCCAGGGTTGGAGCCACAGCCTCCCTGGGCAACCTCTGCCAGTGTCTTACCACCCTCACTGGGAAGAATTTCTTCCCAATATCCCGTCTAACCCTATTCTCTGTCAGTCTGAATCCATTTTCCCTTGTCCTGTCACTTCAGGCCCTTTGGATATAGTCTCTCTCCATCTTTCTTGCAGGCTCCTTCAGCTACTGTAAGGCCACAATTAGGTCACCCCAAAGCCTTCTCCTCTCTAGGCTGATCAACCTCTCCCAACCTTTCCTCACAGCAGAGGAAGAAAGTCCTGAAGTTCTGCATTACCTTTTCACTTTCTTGGGTCTGTCAAACCGAAAATCAGCAGGATACAGGTGAACAGTTACCAAGTGATCCTTTCTGTCCTTGCTGCTCTTGAACTTTTCCATGCAGCCTTCTACCAAACACTTGTACTGCAAGGCAGGGAGGGAAAGAAAAGACGTAACTGGTACAGCCAGTGCACACCAACCATGAGCCAAGGGCTGGGCATGGCCACTCACCATGTTTTGCTTCTCAGCCATAATCTGGAAGAGTGAGTCATGCCATTCCAAGATGTGGATATCCAGGAGATTCCCTGAGGGAAAGGAACGCTTGCAGAAAGAGCAGACATTCCTGTGCAGAGCATTGTAGTGGTGCTCATAGCCTTCCAGAGTGTCAAAGACCTGGCAGCACCCAGAGATGTGGCAGCTGAACTCAGTCACCCTGCAGGGAAATCAGATCCATGTCTTATGCTAAATTACAGCCTTAATTCCAGCTGCAGACATGACTTTAGCACACAGTCCCAGAGTGGTTTGGGTTGGAAGGGACTGGAAAGACCATCTAGCTCCAAACCCCCTGCCATGGGCAGGGACACCTTCCACTAGACCAGTACTTGTGGCCAGAATACTGTAAATAGGACATAATTGAATGCCAGTGCAATGGAATGAGGATTATGATGGTGCTGGAAGCTGGAAACATATTTCCCATTGGAAACTTACTGGCCATTATGGCTTCTGGATCATATATATATATATATATATGTGTGTGTGTGTGTGTGTGTGTGTGTATAATCATCATGTTAAGTGCTGCTTCCATGAGGAATAAATTTATTTGCCATCAGAAACTTATTTGCCATTATGGCTTCAGGATCACGTATATTATCATCATATTAAGTGATGCTTTCATGAAGAATAAACTTATTTGCCATTGGAAACTTATTTATCATTATGGCTTCAGGATCCTATACATTACCATTATGTTAAGTGCTGCTTCCATGAAGAATAAACAAGCAGCAATGTGATAAATAAGCTGTTTGACCTAAGTTTCAGTTGTGGGTGACAACTTTGTGTTGATGCTTTTTGAACAGGTAGACATAAGAAAAATCTCACACAGCACTCAAAGGACTTTTTTTTATTTTAAACACAACAGCGAGACAGATTCTCCCACAGGTTTAGCCTTCCTAACTGAAGCTTGCCCAGAGAAGCTATGGCTGCCCCATCCCTGAAGTGTTCCAGGCCAGGTTGGAAGGGGCTTGGAGCAATCTGGGCAAGTGGAAGGTGTACCTGCCTGTGGCAGGGGGTGGGAACTGATCTTTCCAACCCAAACGAGTCTGCAATCTATGAACACAGAGCAGCACAGACTGGCTCAGAGCATGGTGATGAAGCCTCACTTACTTGGGTCTCTCGGCCACCTCCTCGAGGCTGGTGAGGACACCCTGCAGGTAGAGATGCCTGTGCACATCCCCATCCTAGAGAGGAGCAGAGACACACTGTGGAGCAGAGACACGCAGGGTATCCAACACCACAAACCCTCCTTCCCGGAGGGAGGGCCCTGCGGGCACACTGCTCTCCCTCCTCGTGGCCCCGGGGCAGCCTCACCTCGAACAACGGATCCTGCGGGCCGAGGCGCAGGCGGCGCGGGGCG